AGCGATTCTTTTTTCTCTGTGTGCCTCAGCTTCTTTGTATTCCTCTTCTCTAGTTTCTATTTCATTTATTGTCTCCTCTACCATATTAAACCTGCTTTTAATACCCTCCATTGTGCTCCTGAATGATTGGATCTATGACCAGAATTCATTCCTGAGTTCCTGGATATCTTCCTGTACCTCCATTAGCATGTTGATGATTTTTATTTTGAACTCCCTTTCAGGAAGAGTCATAAGGTCCATGTCATTTAAATCTTTCTCTGGAGTTATATTAATTTTATTCTGGACCAGGTTGCTTTGGCGTTTCATATTTGTATATGGTGCCTTCTACTGTCCAGAAGCTCTACTCTCTCCTGCTGCTCAGCGTCTGAAGCAATGTCGGGGGTTGCAGTGGAACGGTATTGGTGCCTGGCGGGAGGGAAGAGCTGTTTTCTGCTTCCTGGCTGCTATGCCTGGCTCCACTGCCTGAACCAGTGGGCCTAGTGCACAGGTATAAGCTTTTGTCCCAGAGCAGCCGGATATGGATCCCTGCTTTCCACAAGTGGCTGGAATCTCAGTCTCTCTAGGAATTCTGCCTGTATTAGCTTTCCAACCCCATAACCACGCTAGTATCATGAAAGCACCATAAAATGTAGGTTTGTGTGCCCAGAGCAGATCTCCAGAGCTAGGTATTCAGCAGTCCCAGGCCTTCCACTCCCTCCCCGCTCTGTTTGTCTTCCTCCCACCAGTGAGCTGGGGTGAGGGAAGTGCTTGGGTCCCACCAGGCCACACCTTTGGTATGTTACCCTGTTCCATGAGGTCTGCTCTTTTCTCCAGGTGTATGCAGTCTGGTGCAGTCCTCTTTCCTGTTGCTCTCTCAGGATTAGTTGCACCAGCTATATTTTCTAATTGTATGCAGTTTTAGGAGGAAGCCTCTGTCTCTCCTCTCATGCCACCATCTTTAATCCTGAATCAAAATGTTTCTGACACTTTTTCTTTTTTAAAAAAAAGAAGGAGCTGAATAGTATAGTTGTTAAACTGATAGAATATAGAAACAATCTGTCTAGTTTCAAATTCTAGTTCTGCCACTTAGTAGTTGTGTAACCTTGTATTATATACTTACCTCTTTGTATCAACCCCCTCGTCTACTTATGTTTTAGGGATTTTGGGATTAAATGAGATAATATATGTAATGCCCTTAGCATAGTATCTGGTACTATTATTGGAAGTAAATGGGTATATTCATACTTTTCACACATTGGTGTTTGGTGATGAAACATACTATATTATAAAAATACTGCTCTTGAGAATGTTTTTAGGAAAAACATGGCAATTTTCATCATTTGTATCCCAATTCCAAGAAGAGAAGAATTTTTTAAAAAGTCAAAAATTATATGAGAAAGTATGTTGAATCATAAATTTTAAATTGTATGGGTCGTTTGTGTAATTTCTCATTTTACAGTGAAAGAAGCCAAGACTGAGCAATTAGACTTGCCAAAAATCACATACCTTATTAATGGCAAGGTCAGAAATAGATTCCATATCTCTTGATCCTGCAATGCCCTTTCTATAATATGAAATTACCTTTCCATTATCAGTGGAGTATTGAAAATTAAATCTATAGTATATGAATTCTTTCCACTTTCCATGATGCAGCTTTATGTTTTTCTATCTCTGCACTCATCCATACCTCTCTATTTGTCTTAAAAGGATTATTTTTTTCTTCTATTCAATATTTATCTCTCCACCTATAATCTTAATCTTTCTAATGCTGTCTCCTGGAACTTTAGGAGACCAGTTATCCCTCTCCTTTTTGCTATATTTTAAATCTCTCCTCTCTATTGTCTCTCTCTCTCCTCAGTAAATAAATACACTCAAGTCTCTTCTTTCTTCAGCTCCATATTCCAATCTAGCTAGCCATGACCTTTTTCATATTAAGTGATAGAAATCCTACAGAAATTAAGCACGTGCACACACACAAAAAGGAAATGCATTGTCCTATGTAAACTGAAGAGTCCAGACCTGCATCTGGCTTTAATCATGTTAGATCAAGGTACTCAGATGATCTCATGATGCCTCTGGCTTTCTCTCAATCTTCAGATATGCCTGTTATTAACTGGCTTTATTTTTTAAATAGACTTTCTCACATGAAAGGTAGCCTAACTCACATCTTTGAGGTGTAGCATTATCAATAGCAAAACAGTCTTCCTTGTTAGTTTTGTCAGACCAGAGTTCTTTCTGACTGGCTTCATTTGAGCCTTATATTCATCTTTTGATCAATGCCTGTAGCCTAGGGATTGGGTCGTGTGTCCCCACTCTGTGGCCCTGGAGAAGCCAGGGTACCATGAATGATATCCTCACCAGGATCATATGGAATAGTGGAGATAGTTTCTTCCAAAGGACAAGAAAGATACTCTTGTATTAAAAGAAGGAAAGCATACCTGGCAGACAAAAAACAGAATCACTGGAGTCCTAATACTGTATGTCTTGCTTTCCTATCAAAACAAAAGTTCTTCAAAGAACAACTTATACTCACTGTGCTCACTTACCTCCTAAGTTAGTCTTCTTTCTCCAAAATGTAAGTTTTATTTTATTTCACCTTTGTAATTATTTGACATATATGGTTTTAAATTCCTTCTGGAAATCTCTCCTTTGGTTTCCATTAAATTATTCTGTTGGTTCTGTTCTCCTACTTCTTGAACTGCTTGGGCTTTTCTTTCTGTTGATGTTGCAAATGGATTTTTTTTCTTTATTCTTCTCATCTCATAAATTTTTCTTAGACAATGTCACCTAAGCCCATGTCTTCAATTACTAATTATATTCAGATGATTTCTAAATCTATATCTCCCATCTAGATCTTTCTGTCTAGCTCCTGACCCATCTCTATAATCACCTTTCTATACGTATCCACCTTAAAGTTACATGTCAGCATCTAAATTCTTTCTTCTTTCTCTGTACCTCACTCTATTCCTTTTCTTTGTTTCCTAGCTTAGTGAATGAGCCCTATTCTTTTGTAAGCTGCTAAGGGCAGAAACAGTCATCCTAAATATCTTACCTCACATATAATTCATTGCTAGTCCTATTTATGTTGCCTACTTAAACATCTCTCATATCTTTTCTTTCCTTTTTATCCCTCTGCTGGTACTCTAGCTTAGGCATTCATTGTCTCATTTATTGCAATAGCTTTCTTTCTTTGCTTCCAGTCTCACTATCTTTCCATCCATAACTATTCTGTGTGATCTAACAGACATATCTGATCATGCAGACTTACAAAGATACCTTCAATAGTTATCCATTGCCTATAAGAAAAAAAAAAAGTGAATTCCTTAAGATGGCAAACAAGTTTCAACATAATCTTGCACTCAACTGCCTGTGCAGTCTCAGTGGGCCCTGCCTTCTCCTACTTTGTGCTCAAAAAATCCTGAAAAAATATAGCTTGCCAAACATCCTCTGGTTTCTCCTGCTGCTGTGCCTTTCATATACTGTTCTTCCTTCATGGAAAGTCTTGCCTTTCCCTCTTGCTTGGCTCCTAATCACAGCTCTGTCAAGAGCAAATTCCAACATTACAATCTACCATGTTACCATTTTTGAGGTGTCTACCCTGACTTCCATCGTAGGTTTAGGTCCTCTTCCCTTTGTTATTCCTATTGCACTTTGTACCTACTCCTATATTTGGTACATATTATATTGTGTATGTATATTATTGTACAAAAGTAGTATAATGTGAACTGGAGTTGTAAGTACAGTTGAGGGATAAAGTAGGATTTGGATAGGTGAAGAAATTGTAGAGGTTATTTAAAGCATAGGAAACTCAGTGGTATACTGGAACAAGCTTATACTGGCTTGTGAAAGATGATTATTAAATTTGGGGGAATCATTTAGCCACTATTAAAAGTTTATATAAATTTTCAATGAAGTAAATTATATTAAAAACAGGCTATAAATATTCAAAACTAATCACTTCCTTATGATTCTACCACATTTTACTGTTATCTGTGTTCTTGAGATTATTAGCACCTATATTTACTTGTGTGTGTGTGTGTGTATATATATATATATGTATATACATATATATAGTGGAAATACTCTAATATATACATAGTGGAAATACTCTATAATGGGATGCTACTATGCATTTCTTCTCAACTTTGCATTCAGTGATGTCACCTTGATAACTTGAAGTCAGTAATAGTGGGAATACTTATGCTATGGAAATCATCAAACACTGCAAATCAGAGCTTGATTTGTTGTTTTGTTTATTGTTTAGACTTAAGAAAGTGATGGAGAAAATAGTGCAGATTAAACTTAACAGTATGCTGTGTTTGTAGCCATTACATCATGAATAGCACAAAATCTAAGGAAATGTTATTTTAGTATTTGTTAACTATTTTGTAATTCAAGAAAGAAGTTGCTTAAGTCAGTGGATGAATGAGTGAAGTCCCAGCGTAACTCTTGTTTTACTTTCATCTTGTTATACTAAAAAAAAAATCAACATTCACGTGGAAACTCCATTCATTTGTCAATGGCAACCATAGGTTGACTACAGATATAAGAGTTGGGCAAAACTCTGAAAACGTTGAATGAGAATCATTAGATACATGGAATTTACATTAGATATGTTGTATATATTATTATTATTTGTAAATTGTGTGCTAGCAACACATCCTTCACATAATAAAAGCATATAATATATTAATAAACATATATATATGTATATATATAAATACATTTTTTTGGTTAACTTGTAGGGTGAAGAGCTAGAGGGAGGAAGACCATTTTATAAATTATTATAATCTGATCTAAAAGACTTCACTAAAATTAAATTTAGTGAACCTCATAGTATATGGAATATAGTAAATAGAACTGACTGAACAGTTTTCAACAAAGCTTGACCCAATGCTTTTGAAAATTACTACTCAAAATCTCTGTTAAGTAGTTGAAACATGTTTGATGTATGAATAGATAATGATACTTTAGTTATGGGTTAAAAAGTACCTATACTCTTTTATACATACACATGACAGATTTTTCTAGATGGAACTTTTCTACAACTTCAAATCAGAAAACTCCTCAAACAATGCTGTTCAACAGAAATGTTAATACACCTGGAAACCAGAATTTGACAGATGCAGATAAAAGTAATTCTACATTTTCAGAAGCTTTGAATGTGAATTTTGAATTGGGAAATGAAGTTTGGGATGATTTTGATGATGAGAACTTAATAGAAGTTACCACTAGCTTTTCAGCCAATACTGAGAAGACAAAAACATCAGGTAAAATTGTATTTTAGCATGAAATAATTTCATGAGAAAATTCTTTGAAATATTTTTCAGTTCAGCTTCTGGGACTAATTTTCTTTGGCTTTTCTTTGTGGTTGCTTAAGGTTTGTTAACATAATTTTTAGCTAAACTGAAAATGTGACCCTTCCACAAATAGTATTTCCTTCCCCTAGTTCAAGGTAATTCTGTGTTGGTGTTATAGCAAATGAGCTTTTCAATTCTGTTGCTCCCTTATCTTATTAAAGACCCTATTCAAATTCAGGTTGCTAAATTTTCCATCATAAAACAGACTCTCCAGTTCCCCATTCTAAGAACACATATGCTCTGCTAATGTTTGTAAAGGGCAAAAATATTCCATTTTTAAAAGTATTGGTCTGTTAACAAAGTAAATAAAAAATAACTTTTATATCTAGTATAAATATTGACTTTCAGGTATAAATAAATAAATAGGAAAGGATTAGTTTCTTCTGTATTGGATACTGTATTTAAATCATATACAATTCTTACTGGCAAATTCACTGTATTTCACTGAAACAGTAGTGAGAATCTCGGTGAGCATATGACAAGACTGTGAGATGGAGAAGCTCCCTCCCATGATGGCTGAGTACATTAGAAGTATAGTTGCCCCAATGTATCCCACCACAATGCTCTTTAAAAAAAATATCTTTCTAAAGGAGTTAGAAATTGAATGATTATGTTTTAGGGCTGTAAGAATTACCTAAAGAGCTAATACTTGTTTCAGAAGGATTAGGATTTGACCACCTTTACAAAATAGGCCAGGAAAATCTATGATGTGGAGTCAATAGGCAGTTTCCTCTATCGTTGGACAACTGCCACTCCCTACATCAAAATTAAAAGTTATCAGGTACTGGAAATTAAAAGGCAATTTGTAATGATCTTTTGAGGTGGCCTCTTCCTATGAGGGCATTGCTCTGGCAATGGGAAATCAGTCTCAAAAAATGCCACGTATATAGAGCATTTTAAATGACCTCAGTTACATGCAGATCTTTGAAATGTTGTATGAACTTTGATTTGATAATTTACATGAATTATAAATGAATAAATAAATAATAGTTGTTTGGGGACCTTTTACTATAGTGACTAATAAGCTAACTTATTTGTTTTATAGTTTTAATCCCTTATTCTCTAAGCAAATTAAATTTGTTTATTGAGAAGAATTATCCATTCCTTCCTTAACCAGATCATATCTGGTGGATCCCTTGTAGAACTTGTTGAAAGCTCCATTCAGTTGTTCCCTCACATTTTATTTCAAAATGTTTTCTCTCTTCACAGAATTTAGAAACACTTTGAGTTCAAGTACCAGAGGAAGTAAGCTATCCCTCCAAGAATCAAAGAGCAAATTCCAAAGAGAAATGTCAAACAGGCAAGTTTTAGAACTTTGGTTTGGAATACTTACAACTTTATATCCTACTGACATATAATTGGAGATGGATATTAAGCCATTAAATGTCAGAGAAGCTGTAAGGACCAGCCAACCTAAACCCTCTTAATCATAGAGCTGTTTCTCAAGGTGCTGTCAGGCCACCTATATATACCCACCTAGGGGTGCATATTAAAATGCACATTCCTAGGCCCCACACAAGACTAATTGAACCATGCCCAAGAATTTTCATTTTTCACAAGACTTGAAAACTGAATAGGAGTTTGGCAGGTAGAAAAGAGGAGGATAAGGCATTCTAGGTAGAAAAAGCATGTGTAAAGCAACAAGGCTTGAAAAGGTATCCCATGCTCAAGGGCCAGTAAAGTGTGGTCTGTTTGGTAACAGCATTAAGGCTGAGGTTGCTGAGGTCTTGTTGTAAAGAGCCTTGAATGCCATATTTAGACATCTGTACTGTATCCAGTGGGTCTGGGGTCACATACTCAAATTGCCTTCAGGATTTGGTGCGTCAAGAGCAACTGTGTAGTGTCCCATCTAAAAGAAACAACCACTACTTAGCTCCAATCAGTTGTTGTGCAGGGATAAGTGTCTGGAAGTATCAAATATTATGATTTTCAAAAAAGCTAGAAATCTAAAATTTTATGTGACATCTCCAAATTAAAAAATTTTGACAACTAATTTTTAAAATGAGTTATAATCTGTAGCTACCACCTCCAAAAATAATAATGTATGTAGGCCAGATGTATCCTAGAGACCTCTAGTTTTTTTATCTCCATAATAGGCAATGAGGAACCATCCTAGATATTTAAGCACAGGATAAACAATTTGATAAGAAAAAAGTCATCCTAGTGATTTGTGGAATAATATGTAGGGATATATATAATGAATTGTAGAGGGTGGGACAAGCAGAGGCATGGTGGCCAATGAGAAAGGAAGGCTCTGATGAGGCCTAAAGTAGGGCAACAGTGGTGGAAACTGAGAGGTAGAATTGGACTTTTGAAACGTTTCATAGATAATGCAATTAGATTTAGCAATTCATAGGATATGACAGTTGAGGAAGAAGGAAAAATAAAATGGCCAGTTGGTAGAAGGAGATGTTCTCTGAGACTATAGACACATACACATTGGGAAAGGAAAACAGTGATATTTTCAGAAATGTTCAATTTGAAGTAATTTTGCAGAAAAGCAAAATACATTTGGATGTTGGACTTCATTAGAAGTCAAGGGAAATTATAGCCATGGCCAAAACTTTTTCAGAGAAGGAATATGACAGCTTCTTACTTAGGGTTTGCCTAATCCAATGTACTCCCCCTTTAAAAAATGCTAAACTTGTGTCTTTTGGTATTTTCGCTATTATTTAATCATTTTACTGATCATCAGCATCACAGAATCATAGATTTCAGAGAATTCCAGAACTGAAGGGGGCTTAATTAAAGCATCCTGTGGCCTCCGCACCACTGGGTCCTCGAGGCACCAGCCAGCACCACTGGCAAGTAGTCATGCCATCTCTTCCGAGGCACCTCTGGTGACCAGCAGCTCATCCACTCTAAAATGCTTGCTCCGTATTTGGATCTCTCAGACTACTCAATAGGTTTTTAAAATATTTTCCTACAGTTTTTCTTTTTATTATTTCCATTCATTGGTTCTAACTATGAGTCATCCAGAATAAATAGATTAGTAGTGAATAACAAAAGTTTTTAATGAATGAATTTAATAAGATTAAAGATGAATTCTAGTATACAGTTATACAAAGGAAGATAACTAGAAATATCTATCTACAGTGAGACCAGAATAGGGAAAGGAGATTAAAAGTTAAGCCAAGTGGGATTTAGATAGAAAAGATTTAGACTGCTAGGTGATAGACAATTAGGCATAAGAACCAATTTTAAAGAAAATTATTGAATGATTATTTCTGTAGGCCTTAAAAATACTATTCTTATTTGATTTGGAAATAAATAAATTGTTTTGTTTAAAAGAAAGGAGATACACCAAGTTCTCATGATCTAAGAAACAAAGTATCAATTTTTTAGTGATAAACGTTAATCATATTCCCCAAGGAGTCACTATTGATCTTAATTAAAATGGTTTGTTTCTCTTGTTCACCGTATTTTACAAATAATTAATTTTTTTGTTACTAGTTTTGTTTCATCACATGAGAAGCCAGATACTTATTTATCAAATCCTGCTATGTCCAAGTTTGGTGCTTCCTCCATGACAAAATTACCTGAACAAGCTGGAAATGAAAATACTGTAAGAAGAAGGGTTTCTTTGTTTTTCTTTTTTATTCTTCCCAAGTAGTTAAACTTTCAGTGATTGCTTTTTTTAACCTCAAAATACAGGTCTATTTACAAGAAAGAAAACAAAGTCTGTCACCAGAGATTAAAAAGTTATGTTTTACTCACTCTGAAAAAATACCAAATTCTTCAAATTTTGTTAAGAAAGTGGATTTCTTTATTAGAAACAGTGAATGTAAAAAGGAAATTGATTTCAGGTAAAAATATCTTTAAATATATTTTAAGACTATACCAAAGAAACATTTAACAAATTTAGCATTCTATTTTCCTTGATGCATTTTAAAGATTATAACCTAAACATTTTATTTACTTACAGATGTTGAAATTTTAGACTTCTGGTGAACTAAGCTCCTCCTTAAGATAACTCAGGATACCAGATATTTAAGTTTGAGAATGTATTATTTGATCCTATCATTAAAACATACAGTGTTGATAAACTCATTTTACTTATTTGAATATATGTTGGTGATATGAAGTGTAAAGTCACTTAAATCCAAATGAGATCAACTAGTTTTTCAAAAGTTCAAGTTTTGTATTTTAGTCAACCAGTTCTCTCACAATTCTACAGATTCAATGAGAAGTCAGATTAAGTTTAATCAGTGCCTCCCACTGCTGGTCATTTTTATGGATAACTCCATAGCAGTTTCCCTCTCCCTCTTGAATAGTCAGTTTATAGACCTGCTCACACATTGATTAAATAACATGACTTTCCAGTATGTTTAAAGAAATATCTAAGAGACTTAGTCCCTACCTTCCACAGTTTATGTGCTCTAATTTCCCCCACAAACTTCCTGCAAGTTGATGCATATTGAAGTTCATTTGATATATTAACCTCTCAGAAATCTGCAAGTTTATTCATTTTGTCTTAGTTATCATATTATTGTGTATTTTAAAATAAATTGTTACAAGAATCATTATTTACATTTGCTTTTTTTCCACAGTACATATTATCATGAAGATGAAACTGATGAAATGAAGTCTTTTCTGGGGATATTTGATGGCATTTTCTAAAATTTCTTATATTAATAAGATGAAGTATAAAGACACCTATTTTCAAAGCATATTTTTTATTTTTAAAAAATAGTTCACAATTGTTCAGCTTTGCAGCAAAATAGTTGAACTGATTTATTTTTCATTATATTGTAACTTCATGAAAAGTACTTTACAGTGGCTTTATTTTGGTAAACTGCTAATTAAATTGCACTTAGAAATAATTATTTGGTTATTAATTGGAGTTTCATTGAATTTTGACAGGAACCAATTTAAAATTTTATTTTTATATTTTCTTAAGAAAGATATTCTGTGCAAGCAAAATAGTGCTGGGTCAGTGAATTTATTTATTATATGGATAATTTTCCAATATTGTTTTACTAAAAATTTTTAAGACTCCAGTGGCTGTCCAAGTTTGTTGTATAACTTCAAACAAAAATAAATGAAACATTAATCAATTTAGATTATTGTTTTCCTTAAGCTTGTTTTTCAGTGTGGTGAATTCTCAAACTTAGCTACATTGACTTTTACTATAGCAAAACCTATTTCACATAAATTTCCAATGATTATATCTCAACTTTATTGATTAAAAAGTGGTATATAGGCACTCTAAGCAATATTTATTATCAAATTTACTTATAGATACAATGTGAATTTGAAGCCCACATAAGAATTTTTAGATATTTTTCTTTAAACATAAAAGCCTTAGCTGCAAGAGGAGAAACTTCCAGATAATATTGTTATTGTTATTATTAATAAACATTTTTGAGGTATTATATGTATTAAGTGTAGAGAAAAAGCTTAAAACAAAACTAAGAGGATTTGCCTTTGTGTTGAAATTATTTTAGTCATCTTTACAATTGGTATGTTTTTGCATCTGAATCAATCCTGCTATAGCCTTTAAAGGTTATTAAACACCATTAAACTGAAAAATTGGTGCACTGCAATATGCTCATGTCATATACATAGACTTTGACACTAAAGAAATAGCAATTCAACAAGATTGTGATCTGCCAAGTAAAAAGCACTGTGCTTGGTACTACAGAGAAGGCAAGTGATTAAGACAATGTTTTGCTCTCATGGAGCTTATTTTACATTCTGGTAGAGAAATTAAGACACATAATAAAGCAATGTAATATAGAATATATTAGAGTAGGGGTTCTCAAGCTTCCGGATGCATTAAAATAATCTAGGGGGTTTGTTTGAAAATAGATTGCTGGGCACCATTCCCAGAGTTTCTGACTCAGGAGGTCTGGAGTGGGGCCTGAGAATGTACATTTCTTCTTAAAAAGCTTTTTTTTTAATTTTTATATTGAGATACATGCAATAAAATGCACAAATTTTAGTGTATAGCTTGATGAATTTTGACATGTGTACTCATGTAACCATTGTCCAGATCAAGATATCAAGCATCTGAGAATGTTCATTTCTAACAAGTTCCGGTGATAATGATGATGCTGTTCCAGGGATCGTCTTTTGCAAATCACTGCAGTCAAGGTTTAAGGAACCCTGGCACTTCACAGGAGAGGGAACATACTCCTGACCATGAGCTCAAGGAAGTCTTTATAGAGAAGTTAAATTTGAACTGAGCCTTGGAAGAGTAATATGTTCTTGGTGGACATATATATTAGAGAAGGGCACTCTAGGCAGAGAGAACAACTTATTCAAAGCTCTTAGAGAAGAAAGTATCTATCTGGGAATAATGAATAAATAATTTTCAAAATAGATAAATGTTGTAGGATCTGTTTGAGATGGAAATTAAGGCCAGATGGTGGAGGACTTTAGATGTTAAGAAACCTGAGCTTTACAGACTAATGTTGCACCAAATTGCCTGATCATAAGAAACATATGGATAATATATAAAATATACAAATTCCTAGATCTACCCAGAGCTACTAATTCAAAATTTCCAAGTGGAGGAGACTGGGAATTGTAGTTTTAACAAACACTCCAGGTCATTCTTTATGATCAGACCAATTTTAGAAACATTTGGGTAAATAAGAGGTTCACTTCCTAAGAAATAAAAATTAATGGCAAGTTATTATTATGGGCATGCCTTATTTGTACAAATATTCACCTGGAATATTATGTTTTCATTAAATGTTGTATCTCAAAACCCTTCTTCATATACTGATGAGGTATATGAAAGGAGCCCAATCAGTGGGTATTCTTTCCATGAAGTGAATAATAACCCTAAGTTTTCCTATTTGGTAAGTTAAGTCTTAAATTTATTGGGTTTAGTTATTCATATAAAGTGAACCATACAACAGAGCTTTTCACAAAAATCTTTGTTGGTTAAATTTTTTTCAAAAGTTTTTTTTAATTAAAAAATGTCTAATAGGCTGTATTTTTCTCATCTGTAATATTGGTGTAATGGCATCTACCTCATAGGTATGGAGTGAGAATTTAATAAGCCACTGCATAAACTAAACTCTTAGTTTAGGGACTGATGTATATATGCTCAATAAAATGGTAGTTGTTTGTACTGAAAAAAGTATCCTGGACATCACAACCCATTGGGAAGAGGCAAAATAATACAATACAGATTATCCCTGACTTACAATGGTATGAAAGCAATTTGCCTTCAGTAGAAACCATACTTCTAATTTTGAAGTGACGTTTTTCTGGGCTAGTGATCTGCAGTTGGATCTTATGATGCTGGACAGCTGTGATGAACTCCAGTTCCCAGTCAGCCATGCTAACTTACACCCGTTCTGTACCCACACATTCTGCTTTTCACTTTCAGTATGGTATTCAATAAATTACATGAGATATTCCACACTTGGTTATAAAATGCATTTTGTGTTAAATAATTTTTGCCCAACTGTAGACCATGTTTTGAGCATGTTTATAGTAGACAAAGGTAACTCATAAAGTGTGGTAGGTTAGGTATATTAAATACATTTTTGACTTAATGGTATTTTCAGCTTACATGGGTTTATTGGGATGGAAACCTATTACAAGTCGAGGAAAATCCTTATTCATTTGTCATATTTGAGTTTGTCTTGCCAATGGGTTTCAGCCCCAGGCAAGTTTGCTATGGATTCAGTGTGACCAAAGAAAGTGACAGCAAAACATTCTTGGGGTGAAAGGGATATACCCAACTTTATTTCCAGGTGGCAGGTCAGTCACTAAAATCCCATTCACTCAGAGCAAGTCTGCATGCAGCAAGCTGGTCTCTCCCCATGCCTCTGGGCCCTTCTGTCCACACAGCTGTCCTCTGGGCCTCTCTGCACAGTCGTCCCACACAGCTGTCCTCTGGGCCTCTGTCCTCGGCACTGCCACTACTCCAGCCTCTGCTCTGTTCTCCTGCAGTCTTGCAGCCCTGCCACCATGTCATGCCCAGAGCACTGGGTGGAGCTCTTTTTATAGAGTCAACAGCCATGTATTGCCCACAGGTGTGCAGTGAGGTAGTCAACTATGGCCAGGTGAGGATCCTGGCCACAGGAACTCTCATTTTATCCACACCCCATCCTTCCAGGATTATCTCCTCTCAATCTATGTGCTCTTAGTCCTCTGCAATGGTCCCTGTGCAAGGAAGCTCGAATATTGTTCTCCAGCCTCTCCAGCAAAAAGTCTTGCAGACACACACGCTGGATTCATGGCTCTGTCTCTGACCTCTGCCTCTTTTGTCTTAATGGCTGGAACTGCTGCTCTGGTTTCAGTTGTTGCCATAGCTCCAGTAACATCCTGTTTGGCTTCCCATCTAATTTCCTTCCATCTACTCCTGCCCGTATTCAAATCAACCCACATCTGGGTCCTTGTAACCCTCACGTGGCCCCTCAAATCCCTCCTGTGAGTAACAGGTCTTTCTTTCCAGGTTCTCATTGTTTCAGCTACTGTACGTGCCACCTCGCATTTTGTAATCACTGCCTCAAGGTGGGCTGCACTGTGAGGGAAGACAGCTTTCCCATCTCTGATCCCAACAGAACAATTCCACAGCCACCAGCTCAGCCTGAGTACAGGGGTGGACCATAGAGTGCTCCACGACCTGGGGAGGGGGCTGCTCCTCTCCTTGGGGAACTTTCAGCTGCTGGATCTTTATTTTCTTTACAACCACTGGGCATGCTTTCAATACAGGAGGGGCCAGTGCCTCCAGCACCACCCCTTCATCCTTCCCCAGCTCCTCCATTTCTGAGGCTGATGGCACCTTTCTCTTCCTTCCCCCAAGTGCCTCTTCTACAACTTTTACCTTTTCTAACATGCCTCACAACAGTGCTAGCTCAGTCTTCCGAAGCTCTCTGTTCTCATGCCACCTCTGTCTGTGCTTCCCTCAGGAGTTGTCTTTTTCCTTGATGGCCTCTTCCTCCTTCAGAACACCTGGCAGCACTGCCGTCTCATCTCCAATGGCATCTTGCTGCTGGTGCTCTAGTGCTGCCTCCTCCTGCATCAAGGCCATCTCCTTCCTCAGGGAATCCACAGAAGTCTGCAGCTCACATTCTTGTGCCACCCCCTCTCACGTCAATGCCATTTCCCTCCTCAGGGCATCCACAGAAGTCTGCAGCTCGCGTTCTCATGCCACCATTCCTTGGGTCTCCTCTGTAGACCTCTTTAAGACTGTGAGAAGCAGCCAACCCACAGTCCCCGCTGCTTCCCGGGCACTCTGCTTCTCAAAGGATCTGCTTACTATATCAAGAGCCACCCCTACTGCCTCAGGTGTCACCTCCACTTGCCTCCAGTCCTGGGGTGGGGCCCAGTCCTCTAGGAGGCAAGCCACCTCAGACGAAATACCCACTGGGGGATGATCCATGTCTCCCCATTCACAGAGGCAGCCCACTGAAATGCCCCTCCCATAAGGGCAGCTTGTCTTTTTCCTTGGTGAAAAATGAATCCTGCTGACTATGCCAATTGTCTTACCAATGCGTTTCAGCCCCGGGCAAGTTCACTATGGATTCAGTGTGACCAAAGAAAATGACAGCAAAACATTCTTGGGGTGAAAGGGATATACCCAACTTTATTTCAGGGGGCCGGTCAGTCACTAAAATCCTGTTCACTCAGAGCAAGTCTGCATGCAGCAAGCTGGTCTCTCCCCTTGCCTCTGGGCCCGTCTGTCCACACAGCCGTCCTCTGGGCTCACTGCACAGTCATCCCAAACAGCCGTCCTCTGCGCCTCTGCGTCCTCGGAGCTGCCTCCACTCCAGCCTCTGCTCTGCTCTCCTGCAGCCTTGCAGCCCTGCCACCATGTCGTGCCCAGAGCAGTGGGAAGAGCTCTTTTTATAGAGTCAACAGCCATGTATGTGCCCAGGTGCGAATCCTGGCCACAGGAACTCTCATTTTATCCACAGGTTGCCCTAACTTTCACAGAACTTGACAAACGAATTGTTGACTATCCGTAGATGTATCATCCATAGAAAAAAAATTGATATTAGACCTCCTGCCTGCATATACTTCCTCACGCTTTCAGATAGATCCCCTCTCTCCTTATCCT